TCTCGAGATGAAAAATCGGTATAGAGGCCCAGCGCACACACAGACACACACACACACACACACACATACAACCTCTCGTCAATGTGCGTTTTCCGCAGTCCGTCGCTGCATCAAACGCATAAAGACGCATGATAGCACAGGCCCGCCTGGTGAGCGTCACCAGTGATTTTGTAATCCTTCTGTCCCAACATCTTTTGCATTTTCAAACTTGCATTTTTTGATGAACGGCCGTTCACCTGGAAAACGAGCGGTCTTCATGCAAAAAATCAATAGCCGTGCACGCTGGAGGTTCACGTGACCTCATGATCTAACATTACTACCCCACTCCCCCTCTCCATCCTCCCTCCCCCGCTCCTACCCTCCGTCTGCCCCTCCTCCCCGACGCCATTTTCCCTCTGCTTGTGGGAAAAGGCCAAAAAATAGCCAGCATAGCCCATGCGTTAAACCACAGCGTAGGGGCCATTCATGTTGTTAACGATCTGACTGCTGCAAATTTAGTACAAAAACGCTTAATCGTACCGGCAAAACTGGTGCTTGATAGCCTGGGTTCTTATGTAGATAATTTAACCTTTTTGCATTTTTATTCAGAGAAACAAGTATGCAACCTGGAGACGGCAAGTGGCGACGTATGTTACGTGGTCCATCGGTGGATAACGCATTTGTCAATTTACGGACGCGATGGAAAAAGCGCAGTGAAGGTCGTTCGGATAACAATAACTCCACTAGCAATGTGAAATGGCGCAGGTAAAAATAGTTCATTATGCGTTTTTGCATCTTATACAAATGTAACCCAGGCTGGAATGCACCAGGCTTGTTGGTGCGATCATACGTTTTCGCACTGCTGACAAAACTTCAGTCACTGTTTTCCAGCAAGTTTTCGAGTTAGCGCAGTACCAAGTCGCAAACTTTGACGTCGTCGTACGCGTTGCATAAGTGTGCGCGATAGCTAAATTTGAAATCTTTAGTTCACAAATGCACAGAGAATATTCCTGCAAAGTTTCGGCTTTGCACTTTACCTGGTTCGCAAAATCGTTTCCCACCAAGGAAATTTGCTTATTTTTTTCGGGAGTCCGTACGCCGGGTCTATGAGCATGTGGGGGGAAATCTTAAAACGGGAGAGTGACAAACAGGGTAGGAACATATACCCTAAATTTCAGCTTCCCAGCTTTCTTCGTTGTTGAGACGAAAGTGGATAACAAAATTCACTCGCTTCTGAACACACACACACGGACAACTTCTCGACAATATGCGTTTTGCTGGCTCTAGCAGCGCTATAGCGCAACGAAACCGCGCTATAGCACAGCAAACCGCATAAAAATACATATTGTCGAGAGGGTGTCGGTATGTGTGTCTCTTCGGATCTTTGTGTGTCTTCGGACACTCAGCTTAACAGCGCGCTAACGCTAAGAAGTTGAATTTTTATATGAACGTTCGTAGCTTATGTGCCTCCCAAGCAGTTGAAAATCAACGTTCACGTTCAGCTGGGTCTCATGCACGGAGGCCTAAAAAAACTCATGAAAGTTGGAAAAACGATTTCGTGATCCAGGACAGATAGAAAGCTGAAATTTCACAGGGATATTCTGTGTATTTATCTAAGCTAAAGATTTCAAATTCAGCCTTAAAGCATGTCTATGTCATGGGTATGAATACATCAAAACTGTAATTTCGTCATCGCTGGGAAAATGCCATTTCGAAGACTAAACCATTTAGAGAGCTATAAGCTTTTCGAAGATATTTTCTGTCCAAAAATATCTTCTTGCGTGTAGGCTTAAAATAAACATTGGCTTGTGCCGGCGCAACGTATGTGGGCACATCAAAGATATTTGTAAAGAAAAGCGATTGCGCTAACCAGCTGCTGAAATTTTACTAGAATGTCCCATGCCCATGTGCGACCGAAATATTTCAAATTCTGCTTCAGAGCACGCTTAGTTTGAAACACTGTTGGAACTCGATTAACTCTGTAATTAGACTGAACGGAAAGCAGTATTTTTCTGAGAATATATGCTTTTCATGTGCGGCCACCAAACGTAAGGTGAGCTTCTGCTTAGATATTGATCATGCATATAGGCGCATCAAACGTACAAATTGCAACACTGCAATAATACTCCCCGTAGTACGGACAATCTCTTTACACGACGGATCATGCAAGGACGCTTGACAAGCCTATTGCGTCATTATTTAGGTTTAAATTTTTCAAAACATGTCTGGTTGTCTGTTGGCCCGCAACTTCAGTTATAAGTTCCTACTAATTTTGTTAAGAGTAAGTGAGAAAAATTGCGAATTCAATATTTTGAAGGTTTAATCTATCTCACACTGCATCTTATCAAGCCAAGGTCCCGTGTCTTACTCCTTTGCACAATTTTAACAATCTAGCATGCATAACCGCATACCCAATTTGCGGTGAATGAAGCATATTTGTTCGATATATCATTACTGATTTTGCGCACTGTTACAGTAAGCAGGTAGCGGTGCGCTCCTAGGTTGACGTTGCAGTCGTACGCTTCTGCATGATTTCATCCTGCAGAGAGATCGTCTGTGCCGGAGCGTGACTGTAGTGTCGCAGTCTGAGCATTTGAAACTCCTGTACGCAAGGGACATGGATAAGCAGAAGCTCGCTTTGCGCTTACTGCTCCATGCATGAACAGCAAATGTCGTCAGAAAAATGATGCTTTCTATTCAGTCTGGTTGAGTTAATTGGTTGCCAGTGGTGTCCCAAACTTCTTTTTCGTGTATGCAGTCAAGAACAAGACGTGCTTTAAAGCTGAGTTTGAAATGTGTGGGTTGCACGTGAACATAGAATATATTAGTAAATTTCAGCTGCCTAACTTTTCTGGTTGGCGGATCCAAGCATACATGAGCGTTAATTTTAGGCTGTCAAGATCATACGTGGTCTAGGAATTCATGAAATTCCAGCTTCCTCTTTTCTGCATTTGCCGAGTTGAAAATGGATCATAAAAATTTGAAACATATACATACATACTAAGGTATAACGATCAGAAGGAGTCTGGGCCTGGGGAGCTACGGAAAGCGCTCAAACACCTCTTTATTAATACAAGCGCAAAACAAATCAAAAAAAGATACAAACTCAGAATTTACCCGGCAGCAGCTCCAAGTTGCCATCGGACAGGAGCAACAATGGAAGAGGCAGCAGCTCCAAGCTGCCTCACACTTTTTGATTCAACAAAAACAATCTTTATTTCTAATCAGCGCATTAAATATCACGGAGGGGGAATTCGAGTCAAGAGACGGGACATTTGCATATCACAGGGAACCGAAGGGCAACTGGGCAAAGCGAACGGAGTTTAGCCACCATCTTCGTTTCCTTGCTACTAGCTTCTTCCTTTTGCAACAAAGGTCGTTTTCTCTTTCACTTATTTACCTTTGTTTTCTCAAACTTTCTTACCTCTTGTGAGCTTAGACGAGACATGGATGCACGAGTTTCGATGAAGCAGTGCGGAAATGCATGATAAAAGGTGAAGCCGGTGTGCTGGATATTCACTCATAATCACGGACATTTCTTTCGGCTTCATTGAGATAGATGTTTCCTTGAAACCCTCAGTTGCAAATATAGTACATGGCTGCTGCAACTTTTTCCCATACTGGAATCTCTTTTAGCGAAACTTAGAAGGTCTTTAATGCAAGGTGGTAAAGGGAGTTCTTTCATGCAAGATAAATTACTGCCTGGTGCCAGGTCAAACGAAAATTTTCATCAACTATAATTGCAGAAATTCACCGTCAGATATTCGAGCATCGTTGCGTGCTGCTCGCAGTGCATCGTTAATTTCGTTTGTTACAAAAAGTGTGGAGGAATTTCGCAATGGCGTCCTACGCAGCTGGCGTCACTGTGCGCCGAATATGCATGAACAGTCCGTGCGGAACTGCAGGAGTGCTGAACGGCATTCTACTGCAACGGCTATTGCAACGGAACTTGTCAGGCGTCGTGGTCTGACCAGCTTTCTTGCCACTGACCAATGTCCATCCACGGTAATGTCTTGTGTAATTTTTTTAAAATTGAATGGTGGGCCACTAATCAGGACGGTCTGCGTGCTCCAACGCTTGCTGTCTTCAGCTACTGAATTCACTTGAACCGTATTTTAGAACAGCTGTTTCAAGCATTCCGCTGTTTCATTCACGTTTTAAAATATGCTCCCTCCGTCTATTCATGCCCATCTTCTTCACAGTAAATGATTTATCGACCTGGAGCACATCAAATTCCTTTTTGCCTGCCTAATTTCTCCATAGTCGAAGTTATACATTAAGACTCCGATTTCACGTGGCAATAATATACTTCGTGTCGAAAGCACAACTAACGGAGGGATCACCAATTTAAACCGGAGGCCGTTCATAGGACTCCAGTTCGTTATTGGCTTATTTTGAATTATTAATTCCATTTCTGACTGCAGACCGTTCACCGTGGATAATGGGAGGGGGAACATTTCGGGGCAGTAGCTTCTCTTCGCAATTACGCAGTTTCTAGTAATGGTCTAAGAAATTTTTCTAATTTTTCCATCCCAGATATTTCCAGTCAGCGGATCTGAAGCTGGGCGGCAGTGTAAGGGACAGTATACCAGAACCGTTGTCGATGAATGCGGGTGATGATTCCTCTGGCAGTAGTCCACAATCTTCCGCAAAGTTTGTTTTTGTACGCTAAAATTTCAGCATGAAAAAAAAAAGTTTTACCACAATAGCTATAAAAGTTCAATACGTGGATATGTATTGCGCGATCCTA